ATCAAATACTTATTTCACACAATAAAATGGAAATTAATTATTTAAAAATCATACATTGTATTTTTCTGGATTTTTGTTTTAGATTCCATCACTCACAGTTGAAGAGTACCTATGATAAAAATTACAGTCATCTACAAGCTTTGCAAGTGGGAAAACCTGAAAAATCAACAGTGTATCAAATACTTGTTCTCCCCACTGTATATATATATATATCATGCTGGTTAGGTGGGCTGCTTCTGAGAAAGATGGACACAAGAAGAAAGTAAAAAGAGAAATTATTAATCACATCAGAATATAGAAATTGTTTGACATATAGCTTTTAATTCAATATTTAAAATGTTATTCTAAACAATAGTGTTGGAAGATGTCAGCGATTTTACATTAATCCATCCATCCATCCATCCATTTTCTTCCGCTTAACCAGGGTCGAGTCGCGGGGGTAGCAGCCTAAGTAGGGAGGCCCAGACTTCCCTCTCCCCAGCCACTTGGGCCAGCTCCTCCAGGGGAATTCCAAGGCGTTCCCAGGCCAGCCGAGAAACATAGTCCCTCCAGCGTGTCCTGGGTCTTCCTCTGGGCCTTCTCCCAGTGGGACGTGTCCGCAACACCTCACCAGGGAGATGTCCAGGAGGCATCCTAACCAGATGCCCGAGCCACCTCAACTGGCTCCTCTCGACGTGGAGAAGCAGCAGCTCTACTCTGAGTCCCTCCCGGATGATCGAGCTTCTCACCCCATCTCTAAGGGAGAGCCCAGACACCCTGCAGAGAAAACTCATTTCGGCCGCTTGTGTCCGAGATCTCGTTCTTTCGGTCACAACCCAAAGCTCATGACCATAGATGAGGGTAGGAACGTAGATCGATCGGTAAATTGAGAGCTTCGCCTTTTGACTCAGCTCTCTCTTCACCACAACAGACCGGTACAGCGCCCGCTTCACTGCCGACACTGCACCTATCCGCCAATCGATCTCACTCTCCATTTTTCCCTCATTCATGAACAAGACCCCGAGATACTTGAACTCCTCCACCTGGGGCAGGACCTCCTCCCCGACCCAGAAAGGACGCTCTACCCTTTTCCGGCTCAAGACCATGTCCTTGGACTTGGAGGAACTGCTCCTTATCCCGGCCGCGTCACACTCTGCTGCGAACCGCTCCAGCAAAAGCTGTAGATCACAACTTGATGAAGCCAATAGGACCACATCATCTGCAAAAAACAGAGAAGTGATCCTAAGGCCTCCAAAACAGATCCCCTCAACACCTTGGCTGCGCCTAGAAAGTCTGTCCATAAAATTTATGAACAGAATCGTGACAAAGGACAACCTTGGCGGAGTCCAACTCTGACTGGGAACGAGCCCGACTTACTGCCAGCAATGCGGCCCCAGCTCTGACACTGGTCGCACAGGGACCTAACAGCCCGTATCAAAGGGCCTGGTACCCCATACTCCCAGAGTACCCCCCACAGGGGTCCCCGAGGGACGCGGTCGAATGCTTTCTCCAAGTCCACAAAGCACATGTAGACTGGTTGGGCAATCTCCCACACACCCTCCAGGACCATGCTGAGGGTGTAGAGCTGGTCCAGTGTTCCACAAACAGGACGAAAACCGCACTGCTCCTCCTGAATCCGAGGTTCGACTAACCGACGGACCCTCCTCTCCAGAACCCCTGAATAGACCTTACCAGGGAGGCTTAAGATCATGATCCCCCTCTAGTTGGAACACACTCTACGGTCCCCCTTTTTGAATAGGGGGACCACGACCCCAGTCTGCAAATCCAGGGGAACTGCCCCCAATGTCCACGCAATATTGCAGAGTCGTGTAAGCCAACACAACCCCACAACATCCAGAGCCTTATTTTACATTAATAGACTAAGTAAACATTTTAATGTTACACCACTGACAGGTAGCAGCAGTGTATATTTTAGCTACATGTTGCTGCTAGCTAGCTTACTTTCCAATCAGAGGCTGTTTCCTTACACAGTTACAGAAAGGTAAATTGACAATGATGGATAACGTTACCACAGCTAACTAACACGTATATACTGTTTTTATTAATGTTAATATAAAAAGTGAATCTTTAAACGTTACAACACTGACAGGTTGTGTTGTATATTAGCTACTGTGGCTAAAGTTGCTGCAATGATGGATAACATTACCACGGCTAACGAACACTTAAATACAGTTTTTATTAACCTTACCTTGCACTATATCTTGTAATTTAACCTCTATAAATAAAGGTTGAATGAATGAAATCCCGTGAAGTTTCCAGACAGGTCTCCCAAGGGAAAATTGACCCGGAAGTACAGATGCGCTGCGTCCAGTCAGAACGGAAGTTCTCTGATAAAATTGTGAAAACGGCCTATTCAGAATTCATTGTTCCATCAATGATGGCAAGCCGTCCTGGTCCATATGCAAAAAAGCCCCAAACCATGATACTACAACCACCATGTTTCACAGATTGGATAATGTTCTTTTTTTAAAATTCAAGCTTTATTTACGCAGGTTGGTCTCATTGAGTTACGAGTATTCATTTTCAAGAGAGACATTTTAGACAGACACCATATAGGCAATAATATATACTAAAAACAAGAACATATTTACTTAGATTTTTTTAATGACCTTATCAAATGTTTCAAGTCCCTTAAAGAAATCAAAGTGGACAGCTTCAGATGTTGTTGTAAGGTGTTACAGGAGCAGAGTAAAAAAAGGCCTTTTTGCCAAGTAATGTGAGGGAACACTGCAGGTACTTAAGGCCTGAGAATGCACACCATAACTGCACTGACAACATGACATGTGGTAGAGGAACACTGCAGGAATGCAGAGTTTTCCTTTCTCCAAAACACAACACTTTTCATTTAAACCAAAAAGTTATATTTTGGTCTCATCCGTCCACAAAACATTCTTCCAATAGTCTTCTGGCTTGTCCACATGATCTTTAAAAAACTGCAGATGAGCAGCAATGTTTTTTTTTGGGAGCACAGTGGATTTCTTGTTCAACCCTGCCATGAACACCATTGTTCAGTGTTCTCCTGATGGTGGACTCATGAACATTAACATTAATGCGAGAGAGCCCTTCAGTTGCTTAGAAGTTCCTTTGGGGTCCTTTGTGACTTCACTGACTATTCCACGCCTTGCTCTTGGAGTAATCTTTGTTGGTCGACCACACCTGAGGAGGGTAACAATGGTCTTGAATTTTTTTTCCATTTGTACACAATCGATCTGACTGTGGATTGGTGGAGTCCAGACTCTTTAGAGATGGTTTGGTAACCTTTTCCAGCCTGATGAGCATCAACAACTATTTTCTGAGGTCCTCAGAAATCTCCTTTGTTCATGCCATGATACACTTCCACAAACATGTTGTGAAGAGCAAACTTTGATCCCTGTTGTTTAAATCAAACAGGGTGCCCACTCACACCTGCTTGATTGAAAACACCTGACTATTAATTTAATCTTCAAATTAACTGCTAATCCTAGAGGCTCACATACTTTTGCCACCCACAAATGTGTAATATTGAATCATTTTCCTCAATAAATAAATGACCAAGTACAGTTCTTTTGTCTCGTTTGTTTAACTGGGTTCTCTTTATCTACTTTAGGACTTGTTTGAAAATCTGATGATGTTTTAGGTCATATTTGTGCAGAAATATAGAAAATTCCAAAGGGTTCACAAACATACAAGCGCCACTGTACCTATTCTATTTTAGTCTAGTCCAGTCAATAACAATGCTTCAAGTTAGTGTTGCCAAAGGAGGATACATTGGATAATGGAGTTTACTTGTTTTCTTTCTCATTTTGAAATTGATTAGTAGATATTGAAATGGTTGAATCCATTTTTTTTTTTTTTTTTTTTGCATTTAAGGTTATATATGACTGTTTAGGAATCTGATAAGGACTAGATAATTTTTATTATGTACCAATATATAAAAACATAGAATATAAAGATGATGAACTTTAATTTTCCGATGACTTTAGAATTATTGTCATTGTTAAAACAGAATGAAAATGTAAAAGATGGACTTTTTATTACTTGAAAAATGTTTGTGAGATGCTTGATAAGATGAGGATTTCTGTTTGAGAATTCCATGTAAGTTTACAAGGTAGAAACAAGAATAAAAATAATACATACTATAAAATGATTTTGAGATGCACTTTATTTATAGTTACAGATAAAACACACATTATTAGGTATTGACAGGAGATGGTGGTTTTAAGCACACTTGGCATTGCATTTACAGGCCAGGTGAGCCTGTGTGGTTTCCCTCAGGTCTACGCTTCTGTCGAAGACACTGGTGTGAGAATCTGTAAAAACAAGAACAAATCAGTTAGAAATAATGTTTTTTGTTGTTGTTATTTTATGATCTATGAATTTACGTTTAGTTTTAGACTCACCAACTGGCTGACAGTTGAAACCAACAGTGACATCTATGGTTTTGGTGGGAACGCAACCAGGCAGACAGCGTGGCACAGGCTCAACAGAGAAGCATTTGGAGTTCTCACCATGGATGGTAACTTGTTTCTCCAGGGGCACAGACTCGAGCTTCAGATGGCACTCTGTAAGCGAACAGTGTTGAATATAAATGATGCAATGCTTGTGCACAGTACCTAAAGACATTTGGGCTGACAATTTAATTTTCTAATTAAGACTTTTTTTCACTTAATGTTTGTGTCTTACCAGAAGGATCCCGGCAAGTATCAGATGGCAAAATCCAGGATTGTGCAAAGCTGACAGAGTTCTTCACTACACGTCCATTAGGGGTGTGATACTCCTGTCTGACTTCCCCATCAGCCTTTCCACAGAGTCCACAGGTCTTGCCTTTCATCCAGTCCACAACTAGAATCTGTAATGTTACATTTTGCCTTATAATTTCAAAAATGAAAACCAATAAAACACACTAATATATGGTATAATTTTTACCCTCCATGTATCCTCGTCAAAGTAGACTTCCTGGAGACCATGGCTAGGTGCATACACAGAAAGGCCCTCTCCTCTACGTCTGATCTCAATGGAAGCTGTAAAACAAGTTGGATTTAAAATTGGATTAAATTTTTAGGCTGTGGTTTAAGCAAAACTGTAACTGCTTTAATTTTTTTTTAATTCAAAGTAAATACTAGGCTTTTAATAAGGGAAAGGATGAGATCAAAACTGGTTATAGGAACCTGTTGGGTGACGGTATGGCAGGTTGGTTAGGGGAATTTCCATTTCATTGACCTTCACAGCCACATCATCTTTCTTTTGATACATGTCGATATCACTGCAAACACAAAAGCCTCATTTAGATTAAAATTATTTTATGTAAAAGCCAAAAGCTCATTCTTGTTTGAGTTGAAAACCTACATGTCAGCAATTTTGACATTGATGTGATGCTGCTCCGTTGAATCCTTCCTGAGGAGAACCATGAATTTCAGCTCCTCTGTGCAGTCCTGGGCCAAAACCTGGTAGCAAGATGAGGGCATCTTGTGTGTGTATGTCCTGTTGTTAAATGTGGTCAGATTATCCTTGATGTAGCTACATTCAGCTGGGAAAAGGAAAAAACAATAATTTTAAAATTGTTGTAAATTTTCCAGATATTGTACTCAGTTTTTAACTGTAACATCAGTTGTTACCTGCAATGGCCTTGGAAACCATGAAGTGGACTTTCTCAAAGACTTCTTCAAAGGGAATGGAACTTTCGAGCTCCTCGATTGGCATAGTTATAGGAAGATGCATAGTCATGTTGTGGACTTTCCTCTGTAAGTAGAATAAATATGTTATTTAAAAATCATGAATTTGTTGGTTTAGCAGAACAGCACAATTTCTTGTACCATTGGTGTCTTTGTAATGAAATCAAGTGTCCTGTTGGATGTTGCAGCCACAGTGATGGAGATATTCCTGGTGCTGTTCTCACTCTTTACTTTAATCAGGTCCTCCAGGATTTCAACAGGAATGTATTTATATGTCCTGAAAAAAGCAATATTTTTAAAAATAATCCTCATCTTAAGGGGTAAAACAGAACTTGTAGTAATTCATACATCTTTCCATAGCGTGTAAAAACAGATGGAAGTCTTTCCCAGGACATTCTGAGGCGAGCTGCTGGGCTTGACCCCACAAGGCCAGTTTCTCCAGTCACCATGGTGCTGTACTTCTTGCATTCTTCTCCCCAGGCAAATTTAGCCTATTAAAAAACATAAACATTTGAATAATGTCTCATTTTATTGGTTGAACTCCTTCTTTGATGTAATTTTTTTAAATGTGTCTTACAGTAACTTTGTGCTTGCTGAGCAGAATGCCATCAGCACAGAACCTCCAGTTGTTCTCATGAGCAAGAGGAGCAAAAATGACTTGAACTCTGTAGTTTGGTTGGTCGAGGTAGACAACGAGCTGGTATCCCTTAATTTTCTTATCAGCTTTAACGGCACGGAAGATGACAGCCAAGATGGCATCCTCATCCTCAAGGTACTTGTTCTGTGGTGACAGATATGGATAAATATTGAAAGTTCACAGACAAAAAATCACTACTTTTTATTTTGTTGACCATATTTCACCTTTTTGTAGATGGCCTCAAAGCTGGCTGCACTGCTTCCACTCCGGGACTCTGATTTGGAGGTGAGAGTCTGCTCCAAGAATGTTTTTATTGAAGTTAGTAAAAGCTTTACCAAAAGTTACAAAATAGTGAATTTAAAGAGCATATACATTGTAACATACCTTGTGCAATCTCTGGAAGGTTGCAATCCAGTGCTATTAGAAATAAATTGTCAGATCTTAGACCAAATACAAGACGTTGACTGTAAAACTACTTTCAAAGCAAGAAAACAATGTTTACCCTTGAGTCACGAGCACTTGAGCTAGAAGAACTTGAAGAACTTGAGCTAGCACTGAAGAGCGATGCAAGGCTTGATGCAGAGCTGGTCCTGGATGAGCTGCTGACAGATCTTGAAGAGCTGCGTTTGCTGCTGCTGCTGCTGCTGCTGCTGCTGCTACTGCTGCTCCTGCTCCTGCTGCTGCTGCTGCTGCTGCTACTGCTACTGCTGTTGGTGCGTATAGCAGCTGCATTGATTGTCTTTCTTTTCCAACGGGCTGATGAGCTAGAAGAGGCAGATGACGTCTTGGAGGAACGGCTTGAATCAGAGCTTCTGGAGCTAGATGAGGAGGACGAGGAGGAGGAAGAAGAGGAGGATGATGAGGAGGAGCTGTTACTTCTGGAAGACAGGATTTTGTTGAGCTTCATCCGAACTGGGTCGTTCATTTCCATGTCATTCTCATCCATGTCGTCTTTGTTCAGATGGATCCGTTTAATGATCTTCTCTGCTGCCTTTGCTCCAACCCTGATCTCCATCTCCAATCTCTCAACAGCTTCACCTTCCACTGAAAGGATGAGTAAATAATGCCTTTAATATATTTTTTGTGTGCACAACGTTCCTACAAAATGCTCATAATGGTATTTCTTCAGTGCTTACTTGGTGTCACAGAGAAAGAGACATTGTGGCTTCCGGCCAGTTTGTACAAAACAATGTCATGGATGGAAGCACCATTTTCAGTTTCAACCTTGAAGCAAGCCTTCAGTCCTACATCATGGTACTTGGCACAGTACCTCTTTGCAAATGTACGAATCTTGTGTTTGAGTTTAAGGTCGTCAGCTTCATCATCCATATGAAGGATTTCGGAGGATGATGACTATGAGGAAAAATGAACTTGAATCATTGTATAACACTCCAGATACATTTGTAGGTAATAGAATTGTTCAGTGTTACCTCATCTTCTGATGAATCAATCCTAGATGAGACAATCTTGCTTGAAGTGGTTTGCCAGACTTTGGTAGGGATGACTGGAGTGACTCTCTCAACAGTGGGCTCCTCAATATTTCTTGCTACAGCATAAGTCTCAACACTGGTCAAGAAAGAATAAAGATATAATCATCCAAATGGTAAAGGTAAACACAAAAGTCATGTTAAATTATTTGAAACATAAATAAACTGAGTTTAAAGTTTAGACTTACTTTATAGATGTAATGTTTTCAGGCACAGAAACAGGAAGAGCTTCAATCTTGAAGTCACCCTCTTTAATGTCGAGTCTTGCATTAATTTTTGCGGGCAAAATGGTGTAGGCATGAGCTTTGAATACCACATTAGCCTGGAGAACGTCGGTATTAAGTCCCATCACGGCGTATGTGTTCATAGCAACACTAAAGAGAGAATAATATTTTATTATCTTCATCTTTATGGCATGAAATATTTTGGTCTCACTGTGACAAACAGTGTAAGTCAATACATTTACCTTGGTTTGATCTCAGTCTCCAGCTCAATATCAGTTTCCAAAAGACTTCTGAGGGGGAAGTTTTCAGGCAGACGTGGTGTTGTGGTGGGCTTGACTAAAAAACAGGAAAGATCATGAGTTATTTTTTTGGTATTTTAATTGATTTACAAAAAGTGTATATGGTGTTAGACAAAATTATTTATTTTCCACAGTGTACTTACTCTTAATACCAGCTGTGGCCACAGCAGCAGAATACAGACTGAGCTCCATTGGCACACCAGCAGCAGTGGGTAAGATGCGTCTCATCTCAGTAGCCAACAAAGGTTTAGTATAGTGGAAATCAATACCAGACAGAAGCAGAGTCTTCAGAGCATCTCTTCCAAATTCCTGAACATGTAATGTCTTGGCATACTATAAGGAAAGAATACATTATTATTATTTTTGTTTTGAAAACCTTTGTTTTGAGCTTAATGGGTTGTTTTTTCTCATACTTCAACAGCCTGATCAATCATAGTTTTGTCAATGTGGGCGAAGCCAATCTCTTGTCCAAAAATCTTGACATAGATGGAAGCCAGAGGTTTGCTGGTGGGCAGAGACCTCCATTCAGACAGCTGTTCACAGAGAAAAGGTTATCAGTTTCTTTAGTTGGCACTGAATAACAATTTGTTCATTTTCTTTGTGACTTCCAGTGTTGCTTACAGCCTTGATGACACGCTTCATTTTGGTGATCCTGTCAACATTTTCAGCAAGTGCAGGGTTTTTGAGAATAGCTTCCTGAAGTCCCTCAGATTTCACTCCAATCTAAGGAACAGAAAATAGAAATGTATAAAAGAGCACTTTTATAATTAACTGCTGAATAAATTGATTTATATTTTCCCGTACCTCTATGACATCAGCAGAAACGCCAGCAATAAAGGCTCTGGCCTTGGCGATGACAGATTTAGGCAGAATGGAGGCGGCATCGTTGATGTAAAAAGCAGTAGCAGCAGCACCAAGCATCAAGGAGCCTGATAAAGATTTAATTGAATTACAGTTTGTAATGCAGCACAGATCAGTAAACAAACAAACAAAAAACATTTATTAATGTCATACTGTTGTGGATGTCAGCATGGACAACCCTGCTGAAACGGAAGCTCAGTCTGTCCAACTTTGAACCCAAGATTTTCATAGCAACTCTGCAAGCTTCAGCGCTGTAATGGAAGCATAGGAGAGATGACCTAATGAGAATGTGTACACAATGTCTTGACACTTTGGGATCAAAGAGTTGACGTACACTGAGGAATGGATGGTGGCTGGGGTCCTGCTCAGAGACTTCATGTGAGAGTAAGTGAAGCTAGCAACCTGCAAGTTCTCCTCTGTTTTCACCGAGTTGGCAACAGTGGTCACCAATCCCATAGGAGGCTTTGTCTCGAAAAGAACGATGCATGAAAGCATACGGAGTTCTGGGTGCAGAGCCTTGTCCATGTAGAGCTGAAGTGCCAGTTCCTGGACCTAATTCAGAGGAAAAGAATAAAAGTCAATGTGGATTTCTGTGAAAAGACTTGAACACTTCCAAATATTTGATGTTGAGACCTCACCGGTCTGTGCTCTTTCTTTGCAATGTTCCTCAGGGCCATGATGGCTTGACTATGGACTCTCATTGGCAGGGATGCAGCGGCAGTACCATGAATGGGCAAGATCTTTGTGATTGACTTGATGCTAGAATGATGTCCAGCATTTGCTAAGACCTTCAAGGACAGGACAATGTTGTCTATGTCGTTTTTAGCAACAGCTTCAGCAAGACGCTCATGGATGGGCTGCAAGGTAAGAAAAAATGAAAATAAGCATTTTTTATCTTATTTATTATATTTCTTCAATATAATGACTAAAATAACATTCAGAAGCTTTGTTTACCTTTATGTATTCAGCAGGACAGACAGATGACTCAGAACAGTTTTTATAAATCATTGTACCATAGCCAAGGCAGATGATCTCATGCAGAACTGGGTTTGCCACTACTTTGTGGTTGTCCATCAGGGTCTAGAAAAGTGCAAACATCAAAAATATTGTATTCATTTTTGTCATTCGCAAATATATAATGTAAAACAAACAAACAAACAAAAATTTTTGCAGGTCACAACCTCAAAAATCTTGATAGTCTCTGTGTTTGCTGAGACCATGTGAACAGCCGCAACAAAAGCCTGAACTTCCTCAGCCACATTCATCTCATCAGCTATGAATTTCTCCTTGATGAACTTTAGAGCAGCAGGAGTTGCAGTTGCAGGGATGGCATCCAAGAACCAGCGTCTGAGGGATGAAAATGGAATGGGTCAAGAAGCTCATCTAGTTTCAGTATTTAAAAACATGTTCAAATGTTCAGTCACTGAAATCCACCTGTGAACTGGCATCTTTTTGAACCGGTTCCAGTACAATTCCAGGTCTTCATAGTGAGCTACACGGAGGAGTTGGATCATTTCCAAAAACTTCAAAGGCGCATGCTCACTGACATACTCAGCATTGTGGGTAGCCAGGTGGTTCACAATATCAACAGTCTAAAACCACAGGATAGAAATGGTGCTGTTTATTGAGGACAGGTTACACAAATTCAGTGTTATTTTTTTAAGGCAGTCTAAAATCCTACCTGGGCCCGATGATCGGTGATCTTGATAAGCTGAAGCGGTGTCTGAGGAAGTTCAGAGGAGAACTCATATTCTAGAGATCCACGATCATGGTACTCGGCCTTAATGGCTGGAATAGGAGCTTTCTCAATCTCAAGGAACACCAAGGACTGCCTTTGAAGAGAAGCAAACAAAGGTGAAGTTGCACCTTCTTTAAACCATTATATTAGCACATTTATAAGTTTAAGCTTACTTGGTCTTCATCTCAACAGCTCCATTGTCCTCAGAGAAAGGTAAAAACTGGATCAACTCATTGACCTCTGCCTTCAGGATCATCACACCATTAGAAACTGGCTTCAAGACGTAACTGAATGTTGTGGTGCCTCTCAGGTTTTTGAATTCCTGTGAGTAAAGATCCCATATTCAGGCAATGTTCTGGTTTCAGGATTGTATGTTTGACATCTGATAGGTTTGAACTTACCCGATGGTGCTTATGTTCCTCAGTGTATGCCAACCCCATGTCTTTCATGATCCATTCATGACAGTTGTTCATGTCCCTGGTCTTTGTCAGAAGGATGTTTTCAATTCGTGCATCTTCACTGATGGTATAGAGTGTCTTGCACACACCCTGAGTACTGGTCTGTAGAGCATAGCGGCAGTTTAGCTGGAAGTTTGAACTACTTGTAATGGATTTGCAACACAAAGGCTACAGAAGGGTTTGTGACAAACCTCCTGCAGATCATAGACTTTATGGGTCTTCTTGATGTTTAGCTGCAGGATATTCAGAATGCCTCTGTGAATGTTCATCACAAAAGTTGAGATTTCCTCAGGAGCATGAAGGTTTCCCACAATGCCGTTGTTATATTCAAACTTGATGGGCATTGCAAGCTGAGGTGCCAGAGCTGCCTTCAGCTTGGTTGCAGGCACTGCTGGATCCTTGGGCCAATAACCGCTGTACTCATAGAGCTCAGGTTCCACAAGCTATAATTTAATAGTAGTATAATATGAATTAATAAAACAGACTTGCAGTCTTTGTCTCAGAAGTAACATTTTCTCTGCTGCGCATGGGTTTTATCTTTACCTTCATAATATACGTATCATGGTCTTCGGCACTGAGGAGAACTTTGGTGATGATTTTGACTCCAGCTCTCGCCAAACCTTCCTCATGGAGTCCACCCAGGATGAATGCTTCATACTTGTAGATATAGGTGTTACCGGCAGTAAACTCAGGGGCTGTAAGCACAAGATATAACAGTTAAAATAGTTAAGACACTTGTAATAATATTTAAACCATCAATGTTGAAATGTGAAACAATCTGCCAATTCAATTCACCATTTTACTTTTGGCTGCTTTTAATGGTAAAAATAAATAGTCTTAACTGTCCTTTAAGATAACAATCAAGTGTTGAACTTACCAAAGTCAGTGCTTTGCACGGCTAAAAATAAAACAAATATACATATATATATTAATCCACCATGTAAATCGTGAATAATCAAAATATATTTTATCTTATTTAAATTTTTTGTCCTTCTAAAAAATACATTAGGGGAAACAACCAATTCAAGAAAATCTCCATGACTTATCTACCATGTTGTATCGTCTACATTATGCCAGAGACATGCCTTACTACTATGGCCAAACCTAAAAGTGTAAAAAAAAAACCCTTTAAATCTATTTAATAAAAGAACTAAGTTTTGTTAAAATAAATTTACGCTGATTGTATATATGGAAACTGTACTCAAATAAATAACTAATAAAGGTTTGTCTGGTTATTTTCACTACCTAATACAGATTTTTAAATATAATTCTCAGTAATTTAGTATAACATAACACAAACAAAAAAAAGTATTGTTATTAGAAATAATAAATAATCAGTTCTTGTAATGAAGTAAATTTTAGTTTCATACATTTAATTCTAATGAAAGATCAGCATTTTGGGAAACTCCATAAATAGTAAAAAAAAAACAGAAGAAAACTTATAATGCGAATTAAAACAAATACAGAATTCAACCTACCCACGAAGGCCAGAGCCAGGGCAAGCACAACCGCTTTCATGGCTGATGAGGTTGTGACTGTCTGTATGGACAAGCTGCCTTTTAAAGGAAATCTCTGTGCTGACAAAAGCAAGGTATTATGTAACATATGCAAAACGTGGACTCTTGTGTTTTTTACTTTTTGCACCTAATTTGATAGATAACTTATTTATCTTTTAGACGGAAATGCATTTTGGATTGGTTTGGTCAACAACAATCAAAAGATGCCAAGTTAGGGTCACCTGACCTTGTTCTTCAATGCATGTCATGCTTTGAGTATCATGTTCCAAAATGTTTGTCCAGCTTCATGATGCAGTAACTCCTTCTTCAGTTAAAAATTACTTCATTCTGATTAAAAAAAAAAAATGCAACAGTCATTTTTATTATTATTTTTTCATAAGTAATACCTAAAAAATAATAAAATTCGAATTTAATACATTTTGTGTAAGACAGGATTCAATCCCAATTTAAAATTCTTAAATGTACAACTATTTTTTAAAATCCAAAACGTACACTTTTTGATTGCATTAGGTACAGCATTTGATTAAAAAGGATTTTAATAACAGCAAAACTTTTATTTACATTTTATATATTCTAACACATTTACACAACTGTTGAAATATTTAGGCTGGCCAGATAAAAAATAAAAATAAAAAAGACCTAAACTAAGAATGCTTTGACAGGAACTCTGGCTCATATTCACCTGTTTTCATTTAATTTCATTTAATCCCAGGCTACCTCAGATTAAATGTGATGGTGAGATGAAGACGTTTTAGGTGTGGGCAAAATGTAAGGAAGAATTCTTTCACAAATATAAAGGCTTTGTTGTCCATTACCAATAAAAAGTAAATGAACATCAGATTGGTATATCATGTAAACACTCCTCCAGTTTTTTCAGGTTGCACTTGCTCAAAGTTATTTTAAATAATTTGACAAATAGATAGTTCAAAGCTTCTTGACGAACTAACCACAGATCGGTTCCTTGTTCTTGACATTAAAGATAGTTCTTACTGATATGTACAATCACGGGCTACTTTATAAGGTACACTTGTTTGATTCTTCTTAACACTAATCAGCCACATGGAAGCAACTCAATGCTTTTAGGCAGATGTGGTAAAAACAACTTTCTGTCATTCGAACAAAGCATCAGAGTGGGGGGAAAAGGATTCGGACTGTGGCATGGTTCTTGGTGACAGATGTGCTGATTTTGAGTATTTTGGAAACTGTTGATCTACTGGGATTTTTACTTACAACTTACAGTTTAAATAAAATGGCTCAAAAATATTCATTGAGCTTTAGTTGTGTGGCCACAACAGCCTTGCTAAAAATAGGAAACTGAAGCTGCAGTTCAAACAAGCTCACCAAAATCGGACAGAAATGGACTAGAAAAACTTTGCTTGGACTAATAAGTCTCAATTCATTGAACTCCAGAGGCCTCCACAGTCACCAGATCTCATTCCCATTGAGCGCCTTTGAAATTTGGAGGAACAGGAGATCAAATTCAGCTGACAAATCTGTAGCAATTTGTGATGCTATCAGGTCAATATGGATTAACATTTCCAAGGAATGTTTCTAACAATTTGTTGAGTCTATGCCACAAAGAATTATTACAGTTCTGGAGGCAAAAGGAGGTTCAACCCAGTATTAGCAAGGTGTATAAAGTGACAAGTGAGTGAATATGTTCTATATTTGGAGTTCTGTTTAGCTCAAAGCAAATTTAGGGACCATTAGACGTCTTCCTGATTAATGGATTCATATCTGCTTGTAATTACTGTATATTAAAGACAATATCAATTTTAACCAAATCCATTTGCATAAATGCAATCCTTTAACTTTCAAGCTATAATGTAAATTGAGAAAAACAGACAATTTAGAAATTAATTTTACTTTATAACATCCTTTTATGCTCTCTTTAAACGTTTGCAGGATTCTGTAATTCATTAAGGCATACTGTTTAATTTATGTAGCTGCTTGGTTTTGTTTTTGCTTTCCTTCTTTATGACTGTGCCTTAGTGAGCTTTGTCAAAAATCTTTGCGCAAACTTGCCATCAATCCAGTTTCAAAGTTCACGGAAAAGGCACCCTGACCGTTGCTGTTTGCTCGTTTTGTTTGTTGTGGTCACTATGACCACTGAAGGTCGGGGTATTTTAACAGGTCTGCTTGGTGTAAGTGAGAGTTTTGCCTGTTTGATGAAAAGGATCCTTTTTCTCATGTATTGACAGGACATGTTTATTCTTTTCAACTTATTTGGTTTCTGACAACGTCACAGAGATGTAGCATACACTTTCCAAGAATGCATATTGAATATGTATCGAAAGCATTATGGGCAGAGTATAAAATGAGTTTATGGTTATTTTTGTTAATTAAAAGCCACTTTTATTGATTCAGTCATTTGTATAAGATAACTCTAAAATATGCATTCTTTACTCTTTTTTTAATCGATATACTCATTTTTATTTTTTAGAAAATGAAAAGACCAGGACCGATTCTAGGATCTGACCTTTAGGGGTGCTTATCCCCAGTACTGGTTCTAGACTTGAGTAATGTGATGGTCATGTAATTTCAGTAATACATTTTTTTCATTGTGTCAGATGAGTATGCTTGTACTCTTTGCACATATACAAACATTTTGTAGCCTACTGAACATCTACAATGCAAATTTCAAATAAATAAAGCAAACAAAACACTGTACACAGTTTCCATTTATAAATATCACTGAAATAATTCTAAATTAATTAATGATGCATTGCCACTCTGCATTTTGCATTGCCCATTGCAAAATGTTGCATTGCAAATTATCATTTGAATAAAGGTGCCGATAATATGAGTCTCACCCATCATTGGTGTCAGAAGCATTTGTAATGTGTGTGTCTGTGTATGTGGGGGACATTGGTGGGGGTCTGGGGTCTCCCCAAGAAAATTTTGATTAGATGTCATTTCCTGCATTCTGGTGTATTTTAACGTGTTGTTAAACATCTATTACCTACACGAAACACTTGATTTTAATGTGTTGTTTAACATCTTCATTTATCTACATATGTAAACACTTGATTCAGTAACTATTTTAGTGACAGATTCCTCATTCAGCTAGTCCATATATGCATCATCCTGTTTTTAAACTCACTCCAGTGGCTAAGAGAATTAAATTAATCTGACACGATTTATCACAAACAATGACTATAGGGATGCACTTAAGGTATGAAATAAATAAAATCAAAGTCTTTAATCACAAACCTGAGTGTCCAGAAGACTCAGGCTGGATAAAACCATTTCGCCGCATCTGTCAGGAGAAAGGGAATCTGTTTGAGGGAAATTTAATTATTTTTTTCATGTTCTCAGGTGTCAAAAAGCCCAGGATTCAACTAAATTTCTCTAGTCTTAAGAGGCTACTCCAGTCACATAGAAACCATGTTTATTCGCATCTGCAGTTATGTTCGTGGCATTCTCAATGAGATATCTGATTTATTTCCGGTAAATGAGCTTTTGCTAATTTTTATTATTACTGATGTTCTTTCATGCAGATATAGCAATACAAGACGCCGAGGAAAAGGCAAGGTCCAGCACAGGGGGAAATGAGCCAGGGATGCAACTAGTTCAGGATGATGGTTTTTATGTTTATGCACACCCAAGCTCCAAAGATTTTGAAATGTCTTTTTTCTTACCATCCTCAACAGCCCCCCAGAAAGGGGATGTGTTTCTATCAAACCAAAGATGGTATTAAAAGAAAGTGGCTTATATACTGTGAGAAAGAAAACTCACTGTACTGCACAGTATGTTTGGCATATACAAAGCCATCTGCAAGTGACAGTTCATTTGCTAAAGGTGGAATGGAAGCATGTACATGGTAAATGGACTGTACTTGTATAGGGCCTTTCGATCTGATCAAGATACTCAAAGCGCTTTAAACTACAACCTGTGCCCTCATTTACCAATTTACAAGGCACTCTACTATATCTTTACAAAGAATAATCAGTGCTTTATCACATTCATACACCGATGGGACACACAATTCGAGGCAATGAGGGGTTCAATGTCTTGCTCAGGGACACTTCTGCATGTGACTGCTGTGGAATCGAACCCCAACTCTTGCATTGGAGGATGACTGCTCTAACCACTCAGCCACAGCCGCACATACTGTAGGATTTAAGAA